TCAGCCCGGCCTGCACGGAGGCGCCTGGCGCCTGCCCAAATGGCAGCGGAGACGAGCCCGTCCTCCCGTCCGCCTCCCCTCCGCGGCTCCAGAGGCCTCCCGAGGGAAGGCTGGCGTGGAAGTGGAATCTGTAGTCGTAGGTTGGAGTAGTGGGCGTCTTTTGTAGGACCTGCTCCTCCGTGTCTGTACCCCAGACACTCAGATAGTCTTGGGCTGGCGAACTTTGGTCATTACAAAGAAATAAGCCTTTGACCTCCTCCTATCCTTACAGCCTGCCAAGTTTTCGAGGAGAGACATTTAAAAATTGCTGTGCAGGCATCTTTTGGCAGGACTTTTGTGGCCTTACAGAGGCGCTTTATGTATGGATCTTTTACAAAAAAGTCCGTGGCTCCTATCTGAGAAACTTTATGGCAAAATGTGGGAGTGAAAACGGCCTGTGCTATGGATTAGGGCCACATGCTATAGGAATGCATATGCTCACGTCAGCTGTCAGTATTACATAAGTGCTTCGGTGCATAAATTTAGAGGGAGTGCAGAATAGTCAGAAATTCTTAAGGTGGCTCCTACTGTAATGTGGATTGCGACCGGCTCGGGCCTTGCACGGACCAATTCTAGCAGTTTCCTTCTCATTTGCATTTACTTGGCTACTTTAGGGACAGAATTTGCAACTTCCGCCTTAATTCCAGTAATTCAGTGTGCGCTCGAGTGTTCTCGAGTTAAGCAGCAGTTAGTCTTCAGCTGAAGCTTTTCTCCGGTTCGTTGTTGCAAATGTCCGTCCTCCCACCTCCAGGTGCCCCTCTGCAGGACACTTTTAATAGTGATTTAATTTAGATATTTGTCTGCTGTAGACCCTTAGTGCCACATACCTTTTGCCAGGTGAGGAAGAGAAAAAGGGCAATTGTAAGTCAAATCCTCAAAAGCAGAATAATTGAAACATTAATGTGTTTCATAATTTGGAGTAGGTAGGTTGAAAATAGGGGAAAATGGCCTTGGAGCTGAGTAAGAGGTGAAAAAATTCAGGCATGTAAGCAAAATGCCAATTGATTTTCATCATGTTTTGGTCCTATAGGCGTTTTTGTTTGTCATTTGAAACATTTATTTCTCAGTGATGTATCATAAGTGAATAAGAGTTTTGGAGACCTAGGTGGTGACTGACTCAAAGGGAGGGTGTACCAGTCACTTATTCTTGCAGAGTTTGCTACTCTGCATTTTAAAAACAGATTTTTTTAAAATAAAAAAAACATTGGTGCAGGTGTCTGTTGTGTTTTGTTTGTTGTTGTTTGGGTTTTTTTAGCTACTAGACTATCACAAATATGAAAGTATTAAAAACCCATGTTTTTCAGAACAGGCTTGCCTTTTACATGTTCTGAAAATTTCCTTCTTAATGCTTCCAGTCAGTGTAGAGGCAGTTAGAATTGTTCTGTGCAAATTTACACAACCATGACTCTTTTTTTAGTGCTATCTTTGCTTCTAAACTACTTGATTCTTCACAGTATACTGAAATAGGTGTTTTTTTTTCCCTAAAGCTCTTGTGACAGAAGAGTAAACAAATAACGGTTGGATTTCTTATACTCTTTATTCTAAAGCTCTACTTTATGTTGGTTTTTTTTCAGTTGTGCATGTACCTGGTTGAATGTAGAATTCCTGCATATAACATCCAGAAAAGTGTGTGTTTAACAGGGATCTGTAAATAGGTTTGTGAGATAATTTCTTGGAGGGATTGTGTGTGCCTTTGTGTAGTAACTTATGGACAGTATATCATGAAGAACAACATGTGGGGTTTGTCGATGGAGTTCTGAAGGTTAAGGTCTCTCCAGCAGAAGAGTCTTTAAGGAAATAATTCCTTTTAGTCACTTGAGAGTTTATTTAAAACAGGCGTTAATGACATGTTTGAAGCTATTAAGTGAAGATGAGTTGGCCTATTTAATCTTGATTTGTGTTTCGTAACAGTGTTCCAGTGTTAGGGTGAGGAAGCTCATCCAAATGGTGTCTGCTCGCCAAACCAGAGTCATAGGTGGGGGAAGCTGGGGAGATGGTGCTGGCCAGTTGTGTCGTGCTTCTTCAGCCAGCAGCAGTTGACTTGTATCTAGCCATACCAGCGTCATGCTTTTGTCTCTTCTGTCTTGGTTGATTTGTGTGGGTGTTTTCAGTTGCAGATGCGGCATTCCAAACAATCCCACTGTCCCGAGTGGGACGACCGGAGGAGCTGGGACCAGAGGAAGCACAGCAGCAGCCGCAAGCGCAGGAAGAGGTCCCACAGCAGTGGACAAGACAGCAAGCACTATAAGTCAAATCACATTTCAGAAAGGTATAAGACTCCAGATTGAGTAGCACTGATGTTTTTTTTACTATGTCTAAACCAAGTACGTTTTCAGGGTAACAGTTTTTGTGTGCCATGAGTTTTTTCCTTAAGGTTTGGCTCACTTAAGCCAAGCTTAAGAGGTAGTTGACTTTGTTAATACAGTACCTCAACTGTTAAATAGAAATTCTTTAATAAAACCAAGTAAATGCTACTAATTTGTTCCACTGTTGTCAGTTAAGCTTTGGTATTGAATACATTCAATATTAAATTCCAAGTACAGAGTATGCCTTTTATTTACTTCATATGAACAAAAGGAAGAGGTGGTTTGTGTAATAATTTGGTACAATGGTAAGTGTGAGGTTCATGTACTAATTTGGTGGTGGTTTGCTTTTTCTCCCACACTGCTCTCACTGGAAAGATGCGTTTTTCTGTTTTTTTTCCTTGAGAATATGATCCTGTTGAATTCCTTTAAGAGCTCAGACTCGTGCTTACACAGTTCTGGAAGGGGTGGGTGTACAGTGGTATGGGCCTTGTTGCCTCAGCACCTCTCTTAAAGGTTTTTTCTGTGCAGAAGATCCTTGATGCAGGGTCTCTGAGGGTTTTCATGTTTAATGCAGAGCACTAAGAACAACGCTACTTCTCTCAGTCTCCAGGTTTTCTTTTTCTTTTTTAACACTAGAGCTTTGCAAGCATAGAAGGGGATTATTGATGTATCGAGAGTGTTTTATCCTGTGACTTTGAAGATTGTCATTAAGTTGCTCAGTATATTTTGGGAAACGTTTCTCCTTTTTGTTTGATTTACTTATTTACTGTGCAAACTGTGGACAGATTATATATTGTTCATGTGGATGGCTGCTGTGTATTTGAGACTGACTATGTTAGATTCCTAATAAAATAACATCAGAAGCTCCACTATTTTTGGGGAGGGAGTCAATTAGAAAAGAGTCTTTGTGTAAAGACAGGTACTATATAACTCTGTAACTCAGCTCAAGTCACTTATCTTGTTGGAACCTCAAGTTTTTGAAGTGGAGAACATTCACTTAAAATATATTTTCAGTCATTATTTGGACGATAGAGCCATAAATGAAAGAGACCATCATGACCGGAGATATGTTGAGGAATACAGAAATGACTTCTGTGAAGTGTATGACCACAGGCATTATCACAGAGACTATGAAAAGAGTCACCATCATCACTATAGCAAATCCTCTGGTCGGAGCAGGAAAAGTAGTCATAAAAGGAAGCATAAGAGGCATCATTGCTCCAGTCACCAATCGCATTCGGTATGAGTAACTTTTAACTTTATTATTAATGAATTAGTGGTAATAGACTTCTTAAGTGAGTGCTAGAACATCAATTCCTGGTCACAGTATTTAAATACTATATTATTAAAAAAGGATTTATAGTCGAGGCCTTTTGTGAGCACATGAATATGTTCTTACTTGAGACTTTTGGATGAGAGTGCTGGGTGGGGGTGGGATTATCGTCAGCACGAGTTATACGCTGGGAATGTAGGTGGCCAGAAGTTAAGGTCACTGGGTTTAATCAAAGTACAGTTGTCACTTTGTAGTTTTGCAGCCTAGTGAACTCTGGTGTTTCAGGTAGACTGTGAGCTGCCGTATAACCAAAAGTGCTTGAAGTGACATGCTGTTTAATGTAAGGCTGATTGGAACTGTGGAACAGGCATGTCTGGTGAACTGATGAGAACAAGCTCAGTGGTTCCACGCCTGCTTGCAGATAACTTTGCTAAGCCTTGTTTTGCCTGGCTAAGGGCAGCTAACGTTTTACTGAAGGTGGGATGAGTTTGCTGCTTGCCTTCTTTGAAGGCAGACGCTCTGAATTTCTCAGTATTGGCATGATGGCCACTGGTACGTCTTTAGCTCCAGGTGGTTTATGTCACAGTTCTGCCACAGAAAACAGCAGGTTTGCATTAGATAATGCAATGCCAATTAGGGCCTTCAGAATAATTTTTCTTCTCTCTCTAAACATGAGGGAAGTAAAATTACTTGTTTTTTTATGTTTAGATTATATAAAGTGTATGTTTTAAAAATAGAAACATTTCACCTGACTGTAAGCTTAGCTATGTAAAGAAATACTGTGTTTTGCTATTTGCTAGTAAAGTATTAGAAGTAGTGATGTCGTATTCTTAATCTGTCTTCAGTTAAGCCACTGTTTGAGAAACAAAATTGTGTTGTTTTTTTCTGTTGCTTTATCACTTTAAGTATTTATCTGAAAATCTGTTCCTTGCCATGTTTTTCTTCTGTAACATAAACTGTGCCCTGTGAATTTCTGGGGACTGAATTTGAAATTGCTCCTGCCAACTGTTCGTGGCCTGGTGTGTAACTGAATGCCTGAATATCTCCCCGCTGAATGAATTGCGTATTCTGCCCTGAATTCACTCTGATATATTGATTGGCTGGACGATCTTGGTGCCGTTTCCAGAAGAGTCACCGAAGGAAAAGATCCAGGAGTGTAGAGGATGATGAGGAGGGTCACCTGATCTGTGAAAGTGGAGACGTTCTAAGAGCAAGATGTATAGAACATTTTTCAACACTTTTTAAAAACTTTTCAGCAAAAAGTCTGTTTAGAATAGTATGGCAGAGGAGGGGGGCTAAAGAAATCTTCATTGCTCTTTTTGTTCTGTTTTTTTTTGTGCTTTTGTTTTTTTGCATATCTTCTTTTCTGTAGAATTTAAATACTGTGTTCAAAAAGTTCCAATTAGTAAATGAACTTGGATCTGGAGATTAGAACAAGAGATAGTTTTTTGGCTAACTGTTTTGATGATGCCTGTCCAATAAAATAATGCATTCAGATGCTGAGATTTAAAGTAACTATGCTTATGTAATGGCACATTTTTAAATCTACATTGATAATGTTCATGCTTGTTGAAGTAGTTTTATAATTCTAACTGGTGTTTGTTCTTTTTAGATGAAATTGTTGCGACTTTAGGAGAAGGAGCTTTTGGGAAAGTAGTGGAGTGCATAGATCATGATATGTAAGTGTTGGCTGTCTTTTATAAGTGGACCTTGTGACAAACGTCACTGCTTAGCTCAGAAATTAAAGTTCAGGGGCATTTTCTTTAGTTGCAGTTCAAATGAGATGTTACAGTAGTATTGAAGAGATTTTTTTTGAGCACTACCTTGTAAGCTTATTTCTAGTTTTAAATTATTAACGATTTTCAGATGATACCACATCTGTCCCTGATTGCTTTTAAGGTTCTTCAGGCATCTTTGCCAATACTAGTGATTTTTTTTTTTTTGTTCTGTTGCTCTGGCAAAGGCCCTTGGATGGTGCTGACTTCATACAAGATGATATATAGAGAAATACTTCTTTTTTCTCTTAAGCTTTTGAGAATCTACCTTTAACAATAAACTTCTTTAACTGCATAATCTTTTGTAGCTATACTATTTTTTTCTGTACAAGCTTTACAACCACATGGTGTAAACTTCTGGTTACTAAGTAGATAGATGTCATCTGCCCGTTTTAAAAAGGGAGAGCTATGTTTTGCCTCTTTATGTTTTTCTGTTGTTTCTAGAAGTGCCTTTGCCATAACTAGAGCTTGTGAGGGTGCGCAGAGAGTACAGAATTGGTTTGGGACAATGACCTTTAGAAGGTGATGCAGTGAAGTGCTGTGAAAGTAGTTTTGAGTCCTACTAAATTTCCTCAGTCTCTATATTCAGAATTACCCTTTGAAGTTTTTCTGAATGCATAGGACTCCAGTCCTTTTTTGATGGGGCTGTTACTTCTGTGTGATGGCATGTTCAGTGGAGAATAAAATGACTGTATTTCCACTGCTTCTGTATGTGCTAGGAACTTTCAACAGTTAGTAAAACTCAGATTACTGTAACTGAATGGTTTATAGCTGCAGTTTTGTGATAGGGTTCCATTTTCTTCTGCCTTTGGTTTGTCCTGTCATTTGACATGTCTGTTCAGGAGCCTGAGGTCAGGTTGTGAGGGCAGATGCTCTTCTTAAGTCATTAGCACCTAAATAGCTCTACAGAGATAATTAAAAAATTGTCCTAAGAGTGAACAGGACAGAATGAACCACGTGTGTCTATGTTGTGTTCAGGTAACAGCCTTAGAGCTGGGATGTTGCACTGAGTGCACGTCACTAGAACAAAATACTCCAAATCTGAACTTCAGAGGTTACTCAATTCCCCTGGTTCTACCAGAGGACTGGAAAAAAGCCAGAATAAGTTGTGCAAGTTGCACAAGAGAAATGTCAAATTTTTGCAGAACTGTCCTCAAGTGAGAGCTTTGATAGGAATCCACTTGCAAGATGATTAAAAAAAAACCCTGATGTTTACCTTAGACAAGATGACTGAGAAAGAGTTAATGTAGCAATGCTGTGAGTATTTGACAAAGGAAAGAGCAGTATTGTGTTGCTTCATAAAACCAGTTCTGGTTCAGTTCAATGTGCTTAAGTCAAATTCCCCTAATTCAACTCAGAATTCTGTATGACTTTTAATCTTCCTGTGTTTCTTTTATTAAAATTGAGCTGCTTTAGAGTTCTAGATATTGAACAATAATTGGTTCATTTTTTGATGCTTTACTTTCTTTTTAAAGGAGAGGAATGCATGTAGCAGTTAAAATTGTGAAAAATGTTGGTAGATACCGGGAGGCAGCCCGTTCTGAAATACAGGTGTTGGAGCACTTGAACAACATGGATCCAAGCAGCAATTTGTAAGTATGAAGTGAGAACAGCCAGCAAACTGAGAATATGTGCAAGGTAATTATTTATTCAGTATGTTGAATTCTTGTGTTGTTTATCTTCCTTTTTTCAGCCGCTGTGTCCAGATGCTGGAATGGTTTGATCACCACGGCCACGTTTGCATTGTGTTTGAGCTACTGGGACTTAGTACTTATGACTTTATTAAGGAAAACAGCTTTCTGCCATTTCATATTAATGACATTAGAAATATGGCTTATCAAATTTGCCAGTCTATAAACTGTAAGTAAATCTCAATAATACATTTGGGGGTTTTGTTTTTCTTTTGGGAAATTAATTTATTAATTGTGGAATACTGTTCTTTTTTTTTTTTTCCCCTTGTAGTTTTACACCATAATAAAATAACTCATACAGATTTAAAGCCTGAAAATATCTTGTTTGTGGAGTCTGATTACATAGTGAAGTACAATGCTAAAATGGTAAGTTTGTGCTTTTTCTCCTAACTTGAATTGAGCTACTTCTGTCTTCATCTGAACCCTTTAAAAAAAGTCTGTGAAGAAAGGTCAAGTGATAGTTAAGTTTCCTAGAATTCTTTTTGTGCTCTGAGGTGTACTAAATTTCTGCCAAGCACATAACTTCATTCTAATTCAAACAAAACTTTCATCTGATTAGTGATTAAGTTCATTCCTGTTTAATGAAGTTCTGACATTTATAAGTGTTAATAGCTTTGAATTTAGCCATGTTTTGTCCTTTGTATTTCTTCTGGCATTGGCAGAAATAGAGATTTCTTTTTATGTTGCTCTTTTTTCAAAGTATAAAAAGTTCTTAGAGACAAAAGCAGTATAGACTTCACTGCCTGCAGTTTATGCATAAGGCTTGATTTTATTTTTTTTTATTTTAGAGCTAAAATTGTAGAAATTGGTGTGTGTACCAATGGACAAAAAAAACAAGACAGAGATAAGGACTAGCTGAAGTTAACTTGAAGATTAACAGCAGAAGCCAGGAGCTCTGTTACTGTGGGATAGTTCTTCACTCAGCTGTTCTGAGTATTCAGATTAAATCCCTTTGTTACTAGCTCCTCCTCGGAGCTTGAGCTGAGTAAGAGTTGGTGTATCTGGAGGGAGTGTGCTGTTACAGAGGTTTAGTTTTTAGTGCTCCATGTTAATTGGTATTTTGCAGATAAATAGATGAATACCTTGTGTCTGAGCATGCTGTTCAGTACTAACAAAGAGCATTCTGGTTTTCTTGCAGAAGCGAGATGAACGCACTTTAAAAAACACAGACATCAAAGTGGTGGATTTTGGAAGTGCGACTTTTGATGATGAGCACCACAGCACATTAGTGTCTACGAGGCATTATAGAGCTCCTGAGGTTATTTTAGGTCAGTAAAGACTT